CTATCCTACAAAGGAATTTGAACCCTATACTTAATAGAATAAAGTTAATAATAGGTTTCTGAAAATGGGAGTTATAATAAATCCATGTGGTTGGTTCATTTATATTGCTTTTTGACATGCGATGTTTTGTCAACAATGACACTCATTAGTTGAAATTTGACTTGTCACATGCGAAGTCGTCAGTATTTATTTATTTCTTTATTTCATTTCCTTACTTTGTTGCTGTATTGCATGCAAAAGTTTCTTTTGTTGAGCAAACATAAGTAACTACATACTTCTTATTCAGTAATAACCCACTTAGTAATTTTATGCTGTTAAAAGTTCAGCAAAAGTAGAATATATGATGTAAAATGTAATGTTTTTATAATACCTATCGTGAGACATACTAAATTAACTAAAATCGCGGGTTACTCACGTGAATATATGAATGCTCGACGTCGCCGCAACCGCGCACGCTGCTCATGAGGAAAAACCCCTCTGTGGTTCGAAACTAGTAGAGCTTTTCTCAGTATACTCACGTGACTAACCCGCGATTTTAGTAAAATGTAATGTTATGACCTCACAGAACTTGAAACTCATACTATATTTTACAAGCACAAATACTTAGATCAAAATATAATGTGACGATTTTTATATCGACGCACATTTTTTCCTTCCATTACGTCAGACTTGACAAATAAAAACTTCTGTTATTAAAAACAGATACCACAAAAAATACAACTTGTGTAATATAAAGCAAAACATACAAAAATAGGGTAAAAATCCATTGTCCGTAGCAACAAATAATTCATCGTCGCGACCCACTGCCGGCTATGCGATATCGTAGAAAAACTCGGAACGACCAGCATGGCGTCGATTTATTGATATGTAAATCATTTTAATTGGCGCCTATGGACATTTTTTAGTGTAATTGGCAGGTCGCTCGTTATTCATCTGTTCGATGAGATATAGTACTGTGGGGACAGACTTGCGATTATTTTGTTACATCTGCGATTTTTGTTTGTTTAATAAGAGCGTGGCGAAATAATCGCAGATGTTTTTCATTGTGTTTGGATTGAATTGAATGTTGTATAGGTTTATTATTTAATTAGCCATGCTTTCAATACTCAACTTGTTGAGTATTTATAAACAATTTTGGTAAGTATAATAACGATCAAGTCTGATGTGATATTTAACAGGCAAAGTGAATAGTTTAGAAGGCTAATAATGATTATAATTTCAAAAACCCAACGCTCAGTCGCAAGTATGCATTTCTGTGATCAATATTTCGACGTTTCAAAAGTAAAATTTATGCGAGGAATGGCATTTACAATAACGCGATGCGGCCATGTCGTTTATTGTCGCATGTTGGACAATCCTTCTTGCTTATAAAATATATCGAATTTGTCGCTAGTGTGCGCTTATTCCTTTTTTGTACACAAGACAAAAATAGCAATTAGTTTTTCATTAAATAAAGTAATTAAAAAGTACAATTTATCTCACCGAAGCTCTCACATTCCCCCTAATTTTAGCAACAGCACATAAAATAGCTTGGCCAACCCGATATGGTATCAGGCACAATTAATTACTGCTATGCCCAGGCGCATCCTTACGGGCGCATCGCGTGACTACAGCCCATAAACCACAAACACCATCAGTTTATGGGAGAAGCCAGCCAGCGGCTAATTGTCGCTATTATGGCTATTTCTGAATTATTTACACCATTATTAATGGTGGCTTCAAGTTCTATGGGGTTTGTTTTATAGGCTAAAAGATGGTTCGTGATGTAGTTATTGTTTTGTTGTGTATAACTTTTAGTCCATTTTTCTTGAAATAGTTCCTACATAGTGGCGCCACTGTCCTGTTAGGTGTTAATATTTTTAATACCGATTGTGTTCTTATTTAGTCTCATCAAACTAATAAAGACTAGGCATTATAGCTTAAGTTGAATTGAATCTTTAAAGAGGTAAGTAGAAGCATAAATAAATAAATAAATGTTTATAAATCAATCGAATATAAATTATATTCTAGTACAATCTTACGCGACAAGTACAACGTAATTAATACCCATTTAGAATTATTTTACGATCACTTAATACCTATTATTACCAAGTATTTATTAATAGGTAATTAAAAATAATGCAGACATTAAATAGCAACATATTAATATAGTAGTTATATATTATATCGCATGTTCGATGTACATTATATGTATATTATACTAGCGTCCCACCCCGGCTTCGCATGGGTGGGTTTAAGAATCACTCTATCTATTAAAATAACGCATCAAAATCCATTGCGTCGTTTTAAATATCTAACATACATAGTTACAAGCAGACTGCGGATAGCGACTTTGTTTTATACTATGTAGCGATTCTCTTCCGTTACTCAGCGACTGACAGACAATACACAGCCAAAATTATCACCGAAGATGCTGAAAGTAACCATTTTTTTGTATTTTTTTTATGGCATAGCCGCGCCGCCCATCGACACCTGGAACACCAGAAGCGTTACCGGCCTTTTGGAGATTAGGAGTTTGAGGATTGTTGAGGATTCGGGGATTGGGGAGATTGGGGAAGGGGGGAAGGAGCTGGGCCTCAGATAACCTCACTCACACGACGAAACACAACGCAAGCGTTGCTTCACGTCGGTTTTCTGTGAGGCCGTGGTATCACTCCGGTCGAGCCGGACCATTCGTGCCGAAGCATGGCTCTCCCACACTTAAAATGCCATGTTGTTAATCCTACCTTTTCCAATTAATTATAAATGAATTAGTTTATTATGCTAACTTGAAAATCCCTCAGTGCCTAAAGACCAGGATGTTCAACCAGTGTGTGTTGCCGGTGATGATGTATGGTACCGAGACGTGGTCCCTGACCTCTGGCCTTCTGGAGAAGCTCAAAGTCGCTCAGCGTGCGATGGAGAGAGCTATGCTCGGGGTTTCTTTGCGCAACAAAATCCGAAATATGGAAATTCGCCAAAGAACAAGAGTTACTGACATAGTTAGCAAAATCTGCAGACTAAAGTGGCAATGGGCAGGCCACGTCGCTCGAAGGACTGACGGCAGATGGGCCAGGAAAGTCCTTGAGTGGAGACCACGGACCGGAAGATGAAGCGTGGGCAGGCCTCCCGCTAGGTGGACCGACGACATTGCCAGAGTTGCGGGGAGCCAGTGGATGCGGGTGGCGAGTTGTCGTTCGACGTGGAGGGCTAAGGGGGAGGCCTTTGTCCAGCAGTGGACGTCTTCCGGCTGTTGATGATGATGATGATATGCTAACTTGTATGTTACTCCTTCATATCAAAACAGCTGAAGGGATTGGGGTGTTTGGAACAAGGGACTACGGCTAAGGTTTGGAATAAAACGTCGGCTACTTTTTATTTATCACACGGGAACGCTTGAGAAGCTAATGTCAGAAACTAGATGACAATAAGGAAGGAGAGTTTGCATAAATTAAAATTATAATCATATTAATTACAAAATAAGACTGCCTCGTTGGTCGAGTGGTCGCAAGTGCGACTGCCGGGCAAGGGGCCTCGGGTTCGATTCCCGGGCCGGGCAAAGTACCGCTGGGTTTTTTAAAAAAATTCTCAGTAAAGCACGGAGTCTGGAATTATGCCCGGTATATGGCAATAGGCTCACCCCCTATTACATGGGACTCATAACATAAATAGTGAAAAGTGGGTGTTACATTGTACAGTGGCATAATGTGCACCTCTGCCTACCCCTTCTATATTATGTTATGTAATTACAAAGTCACTTGCAGAAACTAATATGTATAACATTCCAATAATAATAAATTATATGCTATAATAATAACAGCTCTTTCATGTTATATGTCGGCATCGTAAATCGTTATGAAATGATCAAGTACATTTATTTACGTCTACCATTCAGCTGGGTGCATCCCATGTTATCATACTTATCACGTATTTACTAATTACGAGTCAACCTTGCTACGGACAAGTTTATCTTAAATATGAGTATCAACGTCCATTATTACCTACTACTTGGTACTAAAAATATTGTTCAGAAGATTTATTTGTAGTTAGAGTTGAGGAGTCTGATTATGGCATTACCTTATCAATTATATTGTTGCTGCCTCGTTGGCTGAGTGGTCGTAAATGCAATTGCCGGGCAAGGGGTCTCGGGTTCGATTCCCGGGTCAAGCAAATTATTACAGAGTTTTTTTTAAATCTCAGTATTAGTACAACGTCTGATATTGTGCTCCGCTGACCCCCTATTACGTGGGACTCATAACATAAATGGTGAAAAGTCGGTGTTACATTGTATAGTGTCATTATGGGCCGCAACGTGTATCTCTGCCATTCTTTTCTGGGTTAAAAAGGCGTGATGTTATGTTATACATGTGGACTAACTGACAACATGCTGGTACTTAAACAAAATAGTATTTACAAAATTTAGGTCGAATAAAATGAATTTAAGTTCAAATGAAAAGTTTATAAGTAACAAATATAATTAAGAAATCTATATTTTTCCTTGTGACAGGCAATACATACATAAATAAGTACTTAGCTAACTTGATAATATAAAATCTAAGAATTATTATATAGAATTGTGTGAAGTGGTCTTTCTTTCTTGGAAATCTTATGAGCAATACTATTGAATGTATTTATTATACAAATCGTGATAAGTTTTCGTGATAGCAAAGTTCAATTTATTACAAAATCACAATGATCGGTCACGTTTTTTGGATAAATCATGTTTGTCAAATAAATCTTTTGTGATATTTACAAATGAACGGCTTTATGAATGTAATCTAAATCATGTTGGTACATAAAGTTTCTCAGGCTTTAATTAAGTCTGCACGCAAATAATATTACAACTCAAAATGAATTGTCACTTCGCTAAGCGATGACACCATCTCTAAATATAAATTAACAACTTATAAATCTTTTAATTTATTACACACTATTTCATATAATATCTTGCAACTGTCTCCCTTTAGTTTCTGGTAATATAACACAAAACATAGAAGCTATAAATGGTAGAACTGCAAATGTTAATGAAGGTATCCAATGTGGGTTGATGTTGCTACAAATGGCGCAACCATTGCTCCTATTTTGGCACCAGCAGAACTCAAACCGTAAGCCATAGTGCGCAATGGAGTGGGAAATAGTTCAGAAACGTAGACGCAGAGAACACCGAACGTGGTACAGGTGGCTGCAAAGCCAATGATACCAAGTATTGTACACCCTGTATGTCCTGGCGGCACAAATATAAGAATTGTCATTGTGATACCAATGACTGTTAAAGTTGCTACTGTAGATATCCTTCTTCCAAAAGTTTTGTTCATCATCATTGCCAGCGGACATGTTGGAATCTAGAAAAATAAAATAAAACTTTATCGTGATAAACTTAAGAGTTCTTACTGTTTGACAGGTGCAAATAGAATTTAGTGTACTAACCTGTATACACCCTAATAAAATCACAATTAAATATACATTCGATCCAATAAAAGTAATGTATTGATTTATGCCAAAGTAACACGCTCCTGCCGAAATCCAAATCATTATTGATGATATGGTTTTCAAGGCAATCTGTTTAGTTCTAAACAGATCCAAGTATGATGACTTGCGTACTTCTTTGTCGTTTACTAGCATTTCATCTAGAGCCATTGCAATATTCTCCCTTATTGCTGAAGTGTTTAAGTTGTTTCTGAAACCCAATATTTTATCAGTATCATTAGTACTCTCGAAATATTTTAATTTTTGAAATTTAAAATAGCAGTTACCTTTTTGCAGCTCTCGTTAAAACTTCAAGAGCTTTTTCTCCGTTGCCTTTAGACATCAACCATCGAGGCGACTCAGGTAAGCAAATAATAAACAGGTAAATTAAAACTGATGCTACAGCATACTCTGAAAGAAACATTCTCCAATCCACAGCAAAATATGCAAATACAGAGAGCAATGCTTGTGCTAATCCATCAGGCATTATTGCTAAACTGCCTGCAGCCTCTCTATGCTGTGGTCCAACTATTTCAATAATAAATACTAGACTGATTATCATAGCACCACCTGAGGCCATTCCTATAAAGAACCTCAAGCCGTTAAATATCCAGTAACTCGGAGAAAATGGCACAGCTAACATAAATGCTATGTTCAGAAATGAAGATATTATTAATCCAATCCGGCGGCCGTATCTAAAAACAAAATAACTTCGTAAAACAGAATTTTGTAAAAAAAATATAGTAACGTGATGAGTGTAATACGATTACCTGTCGGAGATCCACCCAAATAAAGAAACTCCAACTAGAAAGCCGAACATTAATATTGACTGAGTAAAACTAGCCTTCCAAGCATTTTCACAAATCAAACCAAATTCTGAGATCAAAGTCTCGTCAAATAAATCTTGATAATACTTGTATTCTACACAATTACTATAACATGTTGAATTTTCAGCTTTCAATGTTGCATTGTTTTCAAATTGTGTGCATATAAATTCTGTAGAAGGTGTTAGGAAAATTATTGATAGCATGTTCCATATTGCTGTAAGTCTTACAAACGCTGCGATCACACACACTGTTGCTTGCCAGACACCGAATGCACCAATCGATTTCACAATATAATCATCTTCAAAATCACTCTCAATTAATCGAACAGTACTGCTAACCCGTCTGTCCCTATCCATAGTTATTTTTATTGAATCTGCAATAAAATTAGATGCGATTTCGTGATTCTTAAGAATTGTAGGATTGAATCTTAGAGACATTTATAATGTAGCGTTATTTAAATAATATTCACTTTGTATTTTACACATCATTAACGAAAGTAAAAACAATACTGAGTGGCGAATGAAATATTATGTCTTTACTTATCAACCATCTTAAATTTGTTTTGAATTCCAATCGTCACTTGATGTAACTGTAGATCAATGAACTGTGTCTTGTTGTAGGTCATGGATAAGGTCTCCGACATGACACAATTCAGTTTTGTTATCTTTAATTAATAATTGTATTGTTTTGTTAATTGCTCCATCGTCGCCATGTAGGTAAATTAAGTGTCTCTGAATTGAAAACAGATCTCCCTAATAAGTAGTCGCCATTACCCAATTTATACAGCTTAAATGAGAGTCTCCGTCTTGTCCGACGCGTTTCCATAAATAAACCTCCCAGAACCGCCTTTGTTCGTATCGTTATTTCGGCGGACGGAACCACACGGGTTGCTTGTCCTCGCATTTTTTATCCAACGCCCAGCCCAATTAATCTTCCTTATCGTCCCATCGCCGCCAGTTAAATAATCGCGGCGCAGACGAGTTTAACATAAATTAAGTTTTCCACGACACCTGAGATACCCCCCTTGTGTTAAGAGCCTCGGCTAAATTGTCTTTACCTGTGGACCAGGTTAATTTGGACTATATTCTTGGTGAATAAGGTTTATTGGAGGTGTTTTTATAAGTTTGCCGGTCAGTAATAATGAGGCTTCGTCGAGAGATGTATATCGCAAGCCAGAAAGAAAGGTTAAGTGTGAACATTTGTTTGTTAATGCCCTTGTATAATGGATTCGTGGTTCTTTTTCGGTTGGAATGATAAGTTGTTTTACTTTAATTGATCGATCGCTTGATTTCTTTCGGGTTTTGTAAACGGTGAACGAATTTCTCTTACATGTAGACAGGTCGGATAAGTAGAACGGTAACGGGATGATTGATGACAGTATTTAGATTTCGTTCCAGTGTATGGGGACATATTTTTCGTTGATTTTTGTCATCGAGATTAATACATTAGAACTTATCAACATTAGAGGAAAAAATGCTGCTTTGGGTTTTTTTTTTTTTTAAGGGGGGAAAATCATCGAATGACTGCTCCCGCCTGGGTGAGGCGGAAGGGAGTGCTTTGGGTTACGAGATAAAACTTAACCCTCATAAAATTCAACCTAGCAAGTTACTCAAAGAAATTTGGCGCCGCATAAACACCTAAACGCTTCTAGATTAGTGTTAATGTACGATGTACAAAGAATAATTATTGGCCAAGTTCAGTCAGGGTCAACAAGAGAGCGCCCCGGACTGATAATCTCAGCTAACGTCAAGTTAAAAGCCGCGTAAATCTTACTAAGCACAGAGGCGGGGTAGAAACGCGTAATTCAAATAGATTGTCTCAGAACAATCTCTATAGCTTTTTACTTCTCTATTACTTTTATTACTTTAGTGGATAGGGACGGTTATTTATTTCATCTCAATAAACTTATGCTTTCACTTGTTATACCTTTAATCTAATGCTGTGTTTGTTATTCAAAGAGTTAAATATGATATGTCATAAGTTTTTCTTTACTTGTCTTCAATTCCTTATGTTATTAGATCTTTTGCTATCAGATTATGCATCAATCTATTGTTAAATTTGTTTATTTTATTTTCAGCCATGATTGTCCTACTGCAGGGCCCATTGTCCTAAAGCCTTACGTTACATTACATTGATCAACTACAATTTCCTCGTCTTAATACACAATTTCTGTTTCAATGACCAATTTCTTTACTGCTTTATCTTTGACTTTATCAAAACCAAAATTACCATCAGTACCATTAAACACATTCCCAACCATAGCTCTCTCTATTTCTCTTCCACCAACACCTACCACATCACTAAGTATGTCAACATAGCATTCCCCGGTTGTTTGCTCAAATAAAACATACGTTTCGAAAATTGGCCAAATCAATTATCATTGTTACTCAGCTATTTCTACTCGTGCCCACTCTGTTTGGGATTTCATACCAACGATAGTTATATCAATTTGGTCGTATTAGCATCCGTATGTTGTTTACAATTGTTGTACGGTATTTGAAATTCGAATTTCCCTTTGTGTGGTCGATGCGATAATGTGTGAAGCATAGGTTGTGACAAACTAATTGAAGTAAATTGATTGTTGTCAATATTTTTAGGTAACGATTCGTAGAATTTTCAATTATAAGTGATGTTTGTTGATTTTTTAAATTATTAAGTTTTAATGGAGTGTTGTCATGATACGTGTATAGGAATGACAATGATTTTTGTTTTTATAATTATTTTTTTAAATAAGTCATTAGAACATAACTTTAATTCTGTATTTCATGTAAAATATTACGGTTTTTTAAAGTAACTTGTCATGATTTAACACCAGTTATGTACATAAATAATCCTTATATTTTATAGTTTTAAGTATAGGTCAGTTTTCATATACAACACATACTTTGCAACTGCGACTTAAGAATTACGAAATCGTGGGTAAACTTTCGCATCAAAAAATGAAGTGTCATTTCGCAACTGAAACCTCTAATAGATAAAGTACCCAAACATACATACGTCATGCGCGATATTTGCTCGAAAATAACATCTAATTTCTAATAATTTAGTATCAAAATAAAAAACCGTGCCTTCACGCCTGTTAATCAAACTGCTAAAACGCAGTTACATACATTTAGCATACCAAGTCGGACAAAGATCAGTTATCATGTTTGATGGCCTGTTTGTTTGTCTGTTTGCACGTTTCTAGGTGACTACTGTAACTGGATGTTATATGTAATGTATGCGTGATTGATTAGTTTATTTTGTTGATTTTAATACTTGCTAAAATGTAGTTAATTTTTATCGTGATTTGCAGTTGTTAGCGTGTATCCAAATATAGAGATTGTTGGTACAAGCGTTTAGTATGGTGTGACTTCAATATTTATTTGATGTGTTTCGTAAGTGCTACGTGTGATTTGTCATGCTTGGTTTGTAAGTGTTCGTATGGTAACACATCTTATAATGGAGCTAGCTTAGACAGGATGTCTCAATGTATCGAAATAGGTACGTGTAATACTTTATGTTTTTCTTTGCAGGACTTTTTTCTTTTAAGAGGTACAATCATCGAATGACTGCTCCTGCCTGGGTGAGGCGGGAGAGAGTGTCAGACTCTTACTGACTAAAAACCACCCCGTTCCTTCTCCTGCACGTCGAGCCGGAGCCTCGGTTACCTGTTAGGTTCTCCGCGACTTCTTTGCGGGACTACTAAAACGTCTTGTAGTTGTCCAGTAGTTATGTGGGTATCTACACACTATGTTAGTTTGTTGTGAAAGTAAAAGAAGTATAATCAAAAATAGTTTATCCTATTACGGCATCGAACTCACAATCACATGCTTAGCATGCAACCAATAGATTAAACTGTCAAACACCAAGCGGTCACCGGTGACCGCGACCTATTGTTCTTTAATTGTGTCTATAAAACCGGTACTCGACGAGTTAATAAAGATAAAATCGAAAAGTCACCCAAAGTGAAAATATTATTTAAATTGCTTTTTTAACTTTAAACATGAATAACTAAATGATTAGTCTAAGCATGAAGGTTTCTAACTATTGATGAAAATTTCAAAGAAAGACTAGGCAATATAACGTGAAAAACTTAAATAAATTAACCCGAAAATCCCCATCACTGAAATGCACAGTGGGCACTCTGCAAAAACCAGGTGGGCAAAGAAATAAAAAGCTGGATCGAGTCGTTACGTCGGACGCGAGACGTCGTTACAAACGAGCGGAGATCTGCGATAGCCAGCTGAACTTGTGGGCGGGATCTGCACAGTGGGCACATATTGTGTACTGTTGTTTGGAAAAATAAATAGTATAGTTTACTGTATATTTCTAAGACGTACCAGGATGGACAAAACAGATATACAATTACCTGTTTCATTTTTTTTTAAATAGGCTATTTCTTTGCAAAATACTTGTCTTGATAATGTTTGAAACAGCATGTACTTTAAACACCAAAATTTAATATTCCCAAATGCACAATAATTAATTGCAATACACAATTTGCACCTGTGGTATTTATCATGACGTCCATCTGTGATATAGAATGAACCTTATTACCGTACACCAACTTATTAACGACTTCATTTAGACCGCAGTTTTGACCTTTTTTTGCGAATGCACCTAAAAATGTAGCAAAACGTTATTTATAACGTAAATCAATTTTATTGTGGGAGAACCATGCTTCGTCATTTCGTCGAATAGGCCGGCTGGCCCGGAGTGATACCACGGCCGTGCTGAAAACCGACGTGAAACAATACTTGCGTTGTGTTTTGCTGAGTGAGTGAGGTCACCGAAAGCCCAATTACCCACCCCTTCTCAATACTTGAATCTCCAACAATCCTCAAATTCCTAATCCTCAAAAGGCCGGTAACACACTTAAAACGCCTTTGGTGTTCCGGGTGTCTAAGGGCGACGCCGATTACGTATCATCAGGTGATCCGTCTGCTCGGTTACCGGCTTATTCCATAAAAAATACATAATACAAGAAGCATCACAAAACAGTAATATTTTATCTACAACAAACTCCCATCCACCCCACTATGCACATAGAGTAAAGAGACAATCAGAGGCGGGCAGCGTTAACGTTGCTCCGTAACGATCCCGGATAATCCCCGCGATCGAGTCGACGATGCCGATCCAATTTACCCGGGTACCCAGCCGATACCCGGGTCCAGTTCACGTCGTGTTATTTGAGACGATTCCGATTTATTTTGCAGTATGTAGCCCACCCTCTGTTATAAAATTTAGTTTTCCATTTTGATCCTGGTTTTAATTTTATTTGGTTTTACTTTTATTATGAGACTAATGCCTGTGTTTTTATTACATGAAAATGTAGTAGGATTTTATGAGTTTAAAGTATCATTAGGTAAGTATGTTTTAAGAAATTATTTGTTGTCTTTTCAATTTCGTGGTTATCTCTTACTTTCAGAATAGAATTATAAATAAAAAAGTGTGT